ACCTCAAATCACTTTTTGAGGATCACTTATTAAGTGCCTGACACATGCCAATGGCCCACAGAATTTACAAGTGTGACAAACAATCACATAGGGTATTATTAAGCACATATTCAATAACTTCATATCATCTGCCTATCATGAGCTACCATCAGAGCTGTATCATGGAAAACAGTCCCCCTTCTCCCCCATATTTACATTTACAAGAGGGCATGGAGACTTCAGCAACACATGCAAACTCATTTCATCTTTGTGACACACAGGTGTATATGTGGGCACAGCCCTCACAATCTACATTAGAAGATGGCTTCCAAACACAGCACCTACAATGGTGTCGCAGCAAAGCTTCAGAAGGGCAGTTAACTTACCATTTCATGCAGTGCTGCAAGGATCACGCCTAAAGCTGAGACCAGGCAAAGCCCATGTGATTTCTGTTCAAAGCAGAGATTCACTCTAGTAACTCAGTTCAGTCAACATGTGATAATGATAGTCAACAAATCATAATAAATAAAGTTTGTGGTGGCCTTAAACACAATACCCTGGACTACTGTCATCTATTTGCTTGCACAGGAGCCAGCTCTAAACCAGAGCTGTTGGCTGCTCACTTGGCCTCACTTGCCTTTCTCCGCAGAGCCACCCAGCCCAGCTCCGGCAGAGCTGCTGTTCACACCTTCAAAGACTGGGCAGAACTTGCTCACATCTGCCTGTATAAACATAACCTAGATATGCCCCAGCTAATCTTTCAGAAAACAACATAGCCTCTACCAAAACAGCGGTCTGAAATAGCCTTCTGGTCTGTTGAGATATGTCATAAACAACAAAGCAGTTAGAATCAAGACACTCACTTTCTCATACTTTTTGTTCTTGCACATAGAGCAGCAACTAAGGTAAATTTGAATCTGGACAAGAAAGATACTATCAACTGCACTGACAGAAAACTAAGGGTTTGAATGTTGTCACTGAATTCCAGCAATAATTCTTCCTGCCAGTTTTGGGGGTTTTTTGTTGCTTTGGGTTTTTTTGACAAAGATTTCTTGGAAGGTTCAGAAGAGGGAGCTGAGTTCTTTGACATGTAGCGCTACGGCATGGGAAGCCTCGGTAGGCATCTCAGTTACTAAAGACCACATTCTGTGTTATTCTTTGTGAGCCCTTCATACTTGTTTTGGTCTTTATCTGCCTTGAGCATGAGGAGCTAAGGCCACTAATCTCACAGTCAAGAGGAGTAACCGCTGTTGCACAGGGTGGCTGCTGCATTCTCCTCCTCTCCCTGCCGAAAACCTGATGGTTCAACAGACAGGTAAAAACTGGGTCCAGAATAATGTTTGCCAAAGCCTGATGTCATTTTCTCTATTTGCCATTTATTGAACTTGAACTAAGTAACCGGTATCTTCTACATACAAAACTGGACAAGTGTGGGGTTTAAACTGAATTAAATTCATGTTTAAATTCATTAAATTCCCACCACACCTCCAGTTCATTTCTGGTGTAAAGAAAAACAGCCAGTAACTGGTATTAACAATTAGTTCTGCAAATGCCCTGCTGCTACCAAACACGAATGCTTGGTTGCTCGCAGTTTAGACTAATTAATTTCCTCTCTCCCCACCAGTCCTGTAAAACCAGCCAGCACTAAATGCATTGTCCTTTGGGCAGCTTGCGAAAATCACATTTCTCAGAAAGCAAACAGGTCACTTCTCTAGGATGTTTGTACTTTTGTTGTGACCTGCTATGGCTGTCTCCTACCAAGATGCTAAAGTACAAGTTGATCTGAAGTGCTCCACAGAAAACATGACAGTCCTACTGTGCTCCAAAGGTGCCTCTGAAGAGTTTAAACAGCACATGCTTCTAAGAAAGATTAAAAACAACAAGGAAAACTACGCCGAGTTTGGTTCCTGTCTCTTTTCTTTTTGTCAAAGCCCTTATTCGGTCCTTATTTTTGTACTGACTCAACAAGCAGCACAGTGGGTAACTCCCAGCTCTTTCTCTGGAGTCCCACCCACATTTGCAGAAGGGGAAAAAAAGAGAAGAAAACCAAACACTGTAAAAAGATAGCCAATATTTACTGAGCCCATTCTTGTCTTCGCCTGACAGCGTCAGTAGCCCCCAGCCAAAAGTCACGGGGCGATTTCCCTGCCACCCCCTCCGCCTGTTTTTTAGGGAGCAAGTGGGGCGAGCTCCCTCCCCCCACCAGGCAGGGCTGGAGGGGAAGCGGAAGAAATGAGACTTTTAGCAAGCCTTTTTCTGCCACCATCCCAGCCTTTTCGGAGACACCCACCCCGCAGCAGAAACCCCCAGTGCTCCAGCGTGGAGGAGTGGATCTGGCAGCCAGCTGCTGCCCCGAGCATCGCCGGCAGCTGCTGGCATGGATATCCCCTCTGGGGCCAGGGCTGCCCGCAGGACCCTGGCCTCCAGCCCCCCACAGCTGCAGGGGGTCAGAGCCCAGCCGACATGGCAGGCTGAGCAACAGAGCACTAAAAAGCAGCCAGCTCATCCTAGCTTCATTTCCTGCAGAAAATACTCGCCCCAGTCTTTTGGGTTCGGGCTCCGTGGGGAGGGGAATCTGCACCACCCACTCATCCAAGCGCTGTCCAGAAAGAGAAGACCCGTGGGGGAAGGCAGAGGGGGTCCCCGTGTTTGGCTTAAGTATTTGCAGGTGTTACTGTTGTCCTGTTGTACATTCCATTTTAAAAGTACATCTTTATGGCCATGGGAGGCGTTTTTGTAAAGCTGATGAGGGAGTTTCAGTATGAATTTGGCTTCGGCAGCCTGCAGCTTCCAAGGAAGAGAGCTGAGTCAGAGGTACCGGTCTCTTCCAACACTCAGCTCTACTCAGTGAAGCAAAACCAGTGCTCAGTCTGTAGCTCTCATACTTGCAAAGAACATTGCTTCACTTATCATCCAACAGCTAGTAACAACACATTACTAGGCAGCTTTGATCAAAGAACTGAGATTTTCAACAACAGTATTTCTTTGCCTGGGGATACTTTGACCTCAAAATATATTTACCAAAGATAAAAAGTTTAAGAAACTGCTCTGAAGTTTATTCTAAAACAGTGACCCCTCTTTACATGAATTAGAGCATCTTTAAATATATGCCTTCAGGTAGTCTCTGCCTTAATCTTTCTGACCCAGGAGAGGAGTGAGCACTCTGTTTCGAGGTTGGACAGATCCCAACCTGTTACGTTTTCATACATCCCAGTATAGAGAAACCTGTCTGCACCATGTCCTCAGGAGTACTACAGCATGAAGATGTGAGGTATTTTACACAAAACAGAGGATGCTGTACTCTGTAAAATAGCTGCACTTGCCCATTCAAAGGCAAACCACTCTGAATGATCTCAGGCAGGAATTTAAAGACTTCAGTGCACTGGAAAGGGCAGATGGGATTTAGTCAGTAAACCAATTGTTAGGACAGGATCTTAGTTTTATGATTCATATAAAAATACTGCACACAGCTCAAAGACAGTAACCTGGACCCAGTATACCATTGGTTTGAAAAGCATGACAGAAGTGACAAAATATTTTTAAACTGCACTTAGATCTCAAGCTCTATTTGTATAACTACTTAGGGATGCAAACATTACCCAAGGCTTGGCAAAAGGAGTTTCTGGTCTGTCATTGCTCCTAAGTTTGGAACAACCAACTAATGTGCAGTGATAAATATGCAGGAAATAACAAAGACAGTAATTGCCTTATGACTGTATTAGCAATTTGCAAACAGAAACTGTGCATGTATTAAAACAAGAGGAGATTTCATCATTTTGGGACTGGGAGATGCACAGCGAAATATCTCTACTGCTTTTGCCCTATTGGCTTTGCTAACGTAATGTACAGCTCCTAGACTTACCTGGTATTTGTACGTTTTATGCTATTAACTGGGAAGTGCTGAACTTGACACTTCTGAGCAGCTACAGTTGTTTAATTTGCTGTAAGGTTATTTACTAAACCCCAATCCCCTTGAAAACCTATGCAGCATCCAGGACACGGGGCCAAAACCACCCACTCTCAGCTATATGGTGCTTCGCCTGGACTGGGTGTCACACCAGTAAGCCCTATACAGTCACATTTGCAGACAGCTCTGATCACATCTAGGATGCTGACCTTTAAAAAAAGGAAAAAAACCTCAACACACCCATGCTGAGGCCCATTTAAGTGTTACCCGCACAGAGATTGTCCTCAAGTTTCTCTGGAAGAGGCCTGTGGTTTTGAGTGAAACAAGTACTAGGTTTTGCTGTATGTGTCCTATATGTGCTGTTTACACACAGGACAGCCAGACAATATGCCGCCAGGCTCTGATTTGTTACAGAAGTAACATCCTAACCACAAGAACAAAAATAACCCATCCAGTTTCACAGCCGTTTCAGAAGATCAGCACAAATTTCTGCACATGTCTCTAACAGGACAAAGATGCAGAAAACCCTGGGCATGAGATCTCTCTTCTTAAGGTTTCTAGCTTCTTGGCAGCTTCAGAGGAGTCTCCCCCAGCCAAGACTCTCAGGGCAGGGCACGCAGACGGCCAGCAGCAGTGGGGAAAGGACCAGCAACTCAGCCAGCGGCAGCGAGAGGTTTCACAAGGCTATCCTCAGTCAAACGGTACCAAATCTTAAATCTAAATCCTCCCGACAGGAGAGGTGATAAAAAGCTCCCCCCCCACCCTCAAAGCATCCTGCTGCCTATCTGCAAGGCAAGTAAGTTTTGTCAGACAGCTAGACACAAGATAATTTTAAAGCTCCAAGGCTTATAATTATTTCATACTATCAGTTACACATAAGCTGTATATAAAATACAACTCCCTCTGCATCGTGAGGGCTGTGGGGGGGTCGCTTTTCGTGCTCTTTTAATCTAACTCTGTGTCGGAGAGAAAGCTCCTCCCCGGCTGTACCATGCACAAATGAAAGCAGCTTTCTCAGAGGAAAGCCACTAACTCCAGCAATGCTTCCCGAGCACAAAACCAGGCGCGGATACTGTAAGAACACACAGCCAACTGCACAAAGGCATTTGCTCACCTGATTTTCCCATGATCAAGTAGTGTTGGGTTTTTTGGTGTTTTGTTTTTTTTTTTTAATTTCAGCTGATGCCTCCTCTCTTCACTGAGTTCCGCCGCTAAGTGCCGGGGGGACGAAGTGTTGGCAATTTCCACCCAACTTCTTCATTCGCCTGCGACCGCTGCTGGAGAGAACTCAGCAGCATGAACCCGTTACCGCCCCTTCTTCAGCGCTGGAGTAAGCCTGCCCATGCCTTATAAGGCATAGGGGACACCGCTTTTTTTTCTTAAAAAGATCCTGTTTAGGGTCAGGAGCTATTTATCCTCCACAGTAACCAAGCAGCTCCAAAACACCATATGGTTTCACATGCCAGTTTAGCTTAGTAATCGTGGCTGCCTTCTGATAAGCGGAGGCTGTGAGAAGAAATTCTGCTGACAAATAATTCTGCTGTCACAGTGGGCATAATCCACGAGGTTAATTTATACAGCTAAATACTTGTTAAACTTTTACCCAGTTACGGTATGTAAAGTTGAAACAGGCAAGCGATAAGGCAGTTAGAAGTACAACTATATTTTATGTCTAAAAATATCACCTGCACTGTTACAACATAATCTGTAGAAGGTACTAATAAAATGCAGGTTTTTAATTTTAAAATAAGATTTTTCAAGTTAAATGGGGACAGTTCTTGTACTGTATTTCTGTAAAAATATTTGGACATGCATATGCCTTATTTTATCCGTGTGAGCACACCGTGTCACTGTTATCTTCACACTACATCAAAATACCTTAAGCTAGTCTGGCAAATATTAACTACTTCAACTATGGTGAATACAATACTTTGATTTAACTTCAGAAGTGCTGCATCTCTTCAAACAATAATTCAGTTATGTGTTTCCAACTTTAAACTTTTCATCATCACAAAAAATCACCTGAGGTTAAAGCTCCTCCAGTTTTTACATCACCTTTCAAAATCTCAAGGTTCTACTTGGTTTTGTGCCAAGTCTGCTGGCTTAGCAGGTTTTAATTATCCTTTATCTGGCTCCGGAGGCTGAGCTCAACAATGAGAAAAGAAAGGAAAAGTCAGAAATAAAAAGATGTTGGGTTTTTCTTCCCTTTTAAACAAGTGGCAGCAGCAGGTGGGGAAGACAACATCACTAACACACTGCTCCTCCTGAGGTTGCTTCACTGGCGAGGCTGAAACACCAGCCAAGGGGGTGTCACTTATCTAATCGCTGATGGGATCACCACCCAGAGCAGGAAACCACAGGGTGTGAGACCACACTCATCTTCCCTTCACTGGTAGCAAGGCAGGAAGCGGAGCAGGAGGAGGAGGTCAGAGAAGGCGCAGAAGGAAATCTCTTCCCACTCCCTCTGCCATGAGAGTGGTGGCTGCTGGCTGAGGAGCAGGGTGGAGAGCTGGAGCTGGTACTATCAGTGCCCTTTATTTGGAGCTGAAAGCCGCTGTTTTATTTGCCTGCGGGAGAGAACAAACCATGGGCCTCACCTCTAAAAATGCTCTGCTAAACTTGAAATACTGGGTTGCACTACTCCTGGGACATACATCAGTGCTCAGCAATACCCTGTGCCACCCTATGGCCATGACAAGGAGTAGAAGGGAATTCACATTTGCATAGTTGGGAGTCTCTGGCATTTGAAATGTTCATTTATATCCTCATAGTTGATTGTTAAATTTTATACTGTTTATGCTTTAAATCTTTATAACATTCAGCTGAATTATAAAGCGTCATCCCCTCGGGACTTGGACTGCTACTAAGAAAACAGCATTGAGATCTTCAAAAGTGGCCAGAGACACCTGCATGTGATGTTCACAATCTCCTGTGCAATCATAACTTGGAAAAGAGGGTTTCTCTGATCTGGCAAAAATCCAGTGTTACCTACAGGAAAAAAATGGTGCCTTTCCTGATCAGAAAACAAGGAAATCAAAATCACTGCTCAGGCATGAAATATGGAAAGTATCAGTACAAAGTAAATGCAATGACTCATCAGACTGGAAAGCAATGTAAGCTGAGACAACAAAAACAAAGAGGAAGGAGGGAGCTAGGCAAATAGCAAATAGCAAATAGCCTAGCATTTTAACATTACCTGACAAAATTTCCATACTAACGAATATTGCTGATGTTATCAGATGGAAATTTGGAGGAAGTATGCACAGCAATAATTAAGAATGTAATCAAGTCTTTGAAAATAATAAAAGCAATTAAAGAAAAGCCACTGCTAGGAAAATTTGCGAACTGTAAATCATTAATATCCTTTTACCAGTTTCGGGTAGTATCAAACATACTGGAATCTGAGTGGAAACAAATGGGATTTCCCATTTGCTTTATGACCTATCAGAGCTCCTCCAAATCCTTGCTTGTTTAATTACTGCATGATCCTTTTACACAAAGAAAATACTAGTTTAACATTAGTATTATCCAGTAGTGGGCATTGGAAACTACCTTACAGGAACAAAAATGCCCTGACACAATCAGATCTGAGTCCAGCATTCTGCCTCCTATAGCAACACCTACTAAACATTTCTGGAAAAGATGCAAAAAGGTACAATGTGGATTGACTCATTTTCAATTTTGTCTATCTTTATGCTAAAAGGAAATTAGAGCAAAAATGGCTAGTTAGAAAATGTAACACTTAACTACTAAAGATTGGTGTGATAAATATTCTTTCTGGAATTAGTTATAGAGCACATAAAAAGGAAAAATGTAATTTGAAAGGAAGTGCTTGAATCACAACGATCAGGGAGTTAGAGATAATTCATCTGCAGCACAGCTATTTGTTCTGCATCCTGAAAATCTGTGGCTAAAATTTTGGTGTCAAACTGAATGTGTGACATTCAGATGACAAAACTGATTCCTCCTTCTACCTTGTCTTCCCTTTTCTGCTGCCAAAGCAAATCCATTTCACCTGCCTGCACCAAACCCTTCTCTTAACCTTGATGTGACTGACGCTAATGCTCGGAGTCCCATAACCTCCTCTGGTGCCACCATACGTAAACCCACATCCTTCCCCTGCTTTGCTTTCCCATCTCCTCTGGAAGCTTCCTCCACCCCTTTCCACCAGTGGTTTCTCTTCACCATCTTCCAATCTGCCCTGCGTGACCTGCTGCTCACATTGTGGTCAGCACTCTTGGGCTGCCCAACAGATTGCCTCAGGGCACGTGGATCCAGTAAGGCCACTGTGGTGGAACTGGCAGTGTGAATTTCCAGGTCCAGCTGGGATTGTACTGCTGCCTGTTGTCTCACGAAACTTCGTCTCCACAGCCACGTGCTGGTAGCCTCCTATATTTCTCCAGTAGCTTCCACCAGCCAGCCATATATGGATAAATCTGTAGAAGCTCAGGACTAAACAGATGCCTTTTTAAGCAAGAAACCCCAGGCAGATCCCAGGTTACCCATTGTCTTCCCAGAAGTCTGCCCGCACATGGCTGAGTACCCACCTCCACCAGGCAGGTCTCAACACCAGCTATCTGTCTGTTGCAAGGGTCCCAGTAGCACCATGGCTTTCAGCCTGCAGATTTCTGTTCCAGCAGCAGCACAAGGGCTGCCCGTGAGCCCCAACTGCTTGCAGACAGGTTCAGACACGTTTAAGAAGGCCTGAGACGAACCTTTTCACATGTGCACGCTCTGATGGGTCCAGTTGATACAAATGCCTGTCATCATTAATATTTTGAATCATTAATTTATTCCACCAATTACTATGAATCAGGTACAATTAGGTGCCCGCACAGACTGGGACAGCCGTGTGACAGGGCTGTCATATGTTTGCCCTGCTAAGGAGGTGTGTGTGCCTCCCAGACTTCTTTGAAACACAACACTATGCAGTTTCTTTGCAAGTCAAACCATACTTAAAAAAGCCTGTGAGCAAAACTTAATATAACAAATCCGTTCTCCCCAGAGACTCTTAACAAGTGGCCCTAAGGACCAATAGCATTCATATGAACATGAATAGATTCTATACGAATAACATCATACAGGGTGATAACAACCATGACTAAACAATAAAATGATGCACCAGACTATCAATGCAAGTAGAAAACTGCATCTTGAGAAAAAAGGAAAATGGGGCAAAAATGATGGTAGAATATTTGAGAATATTCTCCTGTTCCAATTTTGCTAGGTTTTGCTTGTGGGACTCAGACTGGTATTGCCATTTCACCTGTAAAGTAATCCAGGCTGTGTAGCAGGTCACAAAAATTCGACTTTAACACAGCTGGAGATATTAATTTTTATTGCAAGAGGTGATATTCATCTCTGCTTTCTAGTTTGACCATAACTCTTAGGTTCTGAAGAGACTGGAAAGAGCTGAGCCGAAGAGAGCAAGGGCACAAAAGCAAGGTTATTTCTGCTATATTCTCTTTTCTCAGCACAGGGCTGTTACTGGGTGGCCATGTCCACAAAACCCTCAAACAGAAAACAGAAGACTGTCACTGCACAGTAGTCACTCCCTTTAACTTCCTCCTACACGTTGCAAGATAAAAGTAGTGTGGCATTAATCACAAACAACAGTCTGAAGGGCTGGATTCAAATCAAAGGGTTTAGGGACAAAATGTGGGAATACTGTTGTCCAAAGGAGAATGTGGCAAGGCACTGCCTGTCTCTCAAGGGGCCCAGCACCCTGCCCAGCTGACATTCTTCAGGCTCAGTCCTTGACCATCGAAATGTCTGGGAGCACAAGTGCACAGATGTCACCAGAGCAGGGCAGTGAAATACCCACTTCAGCCTCAGGATGTTTCTCAACATGGGCCAAACTACTGGGGTTCTAGCTTCAAAAAAGGACCTGAGGAAAACCCTCAGCATGGTTGCTCTCAACTAGGTCCATGCAGGAGCTTCCATAAGGAGTGTCACTTCCCACCTCTGTGGATGCTCAGGGTGCTTCCTCTGCACCCTGCCATGGAGAAAGATGCAGAGCCCTGTCAGGGTACAGAGGGGTTAAGGTAACGAGGGGGAGGAGAGGGTACCCTGGAAGAACTTCTGGCACAAAAAAGGATTTGAGCGCATTCCAAAGAAAAGTTTCTGTCAGTGCTACCAAGTGTTACCTTTCTCCTCCAAGGCTGCAGTGGCTGAACAGTACCTGGCACATGCTGTTAGCACACTTTAGTGGCTCTCAGCTTCAGCACAGTATCTCAGGCTGAGGTTAAACACCATTTTTCCAGGACCACTGCTCTGTGGCAATAAGAAAATTTGAGTGATAGCCCAGGTGAGCACAAATACACACAGGAGGCAGATGACTAGGCCAGCTGCTGACCTCCAGTAGAGGTCTATCCCTGCATAAACACAGTGACTCCACAGC